TAGAACTTAGGAGGCATGCAAGCCTTAGGTGATGGGGAGGAGGTTGACGAGAGTATCGAGAGGGAGTAGGAGGATTGCAACAAAAGAGAGAGGTTCACTATAGAGCGAGCAGTACAAATAGGCAAGAATGAAGAAAAGGTGCACCACCAAACAGAAGGTTATATAACTACAGTATTCTACACTACAGGCAGTTACAAAACAATATATAGAATTATATATTATTCTGACAGTTACCAGACGGATCCATTCTTCACACGAGGAAATTCGCAGCAGTTCGCATCAGCAAAGGGAGTCTATTACGTAAAAACCGGGACTGGCCGCATTTGGGTGCCTGGGTATACACTGCTACGGGAATTACTGTTACAGGAGGCACACGACGGAGTTACCTCGGGGCATTTTGGAGTAGAAAAAACACGGCAGCAGATGCAGCGGTATTATTACTGGCCCGAAATGTTGACCGACATACAACGACACGTGGCATCGTGTCCCACTTGTCAGCTCATGAAATCATCACGACAGCGGCCGGCGGGACAGTTGCAGCCGATACTATCAAAAATACTAGCTTGGTAGGTAGGTGAGAGAATAGGACGGCCTAGGCTTAGTAGCCTAGGCCAACGAGTTCGAGAAGTTCGTGCCAAGGGTGAGAGTCGAGTGAGTGGGAAAAGTGATTTGCATTAGAAAGTTTCAAGACTTATACAAGGAAAGCAAATGGAATTGGTGCACCACCTACAAAGCACAATAACTACACTACAACTACAAGCAGTTATAAAATATGTCTATCATATTTCGACACGCCCCCATAAGTGCTTGTAGGTAGAAGTATAGTTACGCCCCCTGAGGGGGTACACCATGCAAAATAATAACAAGCAACAGCAGGTACTGCAGGCGGGCTAACTCTGGATGGTCACCCCCTCCATCTCCTCACCCTCCTCCTTCCCCTCCCCCACACTGCTGCAGGAGCAGTAGAGAGGGGGGGAGAGAGGAGAGGTGGAGGGACGGCTGCTGGTTGCCTCACACCCGCCACCCCGGTGCCAATCCCCCTTCTCCCCCACACCCTCACACCCTCCCCCCCAGCGGCAGCTGCAGCAGTGGGAACGAAAGGAGGAGGGGAAGGGAAGGAAACGACCCAAAGCTCCAACACCCGCCACCCCCATACCCTCCAACCCACGGCTGCAGGGAGACAAAGGAGGAGGGGGTGGGCGGGAAGAAAGCCACAGAGCGGCTACACTGTGTCGAGGCAGGTAGGTCAGGGGCGGCTGCAGGGAGAGCAGGTGCGGAGAGGCCCGTCGCGTGCCACGGGGCGCACGACGGGTAAGTTTAAGTTTAGGGCTTGGTCGTGTGCCTCGGGGCGCACGACGAGCAGGGCACCGTCGCGTGCCACGGGGCGCACGACGGGCAGGTTTAGGGCACCGTCACGTGCCACGGGGCGCGCGACGGGCAGAGGAGGAGTCACTCGCCAACCGGGGGCGGGACAAGACGAAAATCGCCACGCGCCCTAGGCGCGCGACCGGGAAAAATAGCAGCGGAAGCATATTGGCGGGCCCACAGGCCAGGACGTAAATCGCTCTGATAGCATATCAAAAATACTAGCTTGGTAGGTAGGTGAGAGAATAGGACGGCCTAGGCTTAGTAGCCTAGGCCAACGAGTTCGAGAAGTTCGTGCCAAGGGTGGGAGTCGAGTGAGTGGGAAAAGTGATTTGCATTAGAAAGTTTCAAGACTTATACAAGGAAAGCAAATGGAATTGGTGCACCACCTACAAAGCACAATAACTACACTACAACTACAAGCAGTTATAAAATATGTCTATCATATTTCGACAGATACCACCCCCAGAGCGTGCTTGGCAGCAGGTGACGATGGATTTCGTCACGGGGTTACCAGCCGGGGCGAGTGGGAACGATGCGATCCTGGTCGTCGTCGATCGACTGACGAAAATGGCACATTTCGCAGCCTGCAAAAAATCAATCACAGTCGAGGAAACAGCATGCCTCTTCATCTCCACCGTCGTTTGATTGCACGGGATACCAGCCGCGATCATCATCGACCGCGGCATGAAATTCACCAGCAACTTTTGGCGGAACTTGTGGCAGCAGTTCGGCACGCGACTACAGTTCAGTTCATCATACCACCCCAAAACTGACGGACAGACAGAACGGACAAATCAGACCATGGAACAGCTCATCAGGGCCACGTGTGACGACCCGACCACGTGGGAACAGCAACTCCCACTAATCGAATTCGCATACAACAACTCGCCATCCGCCACGACCCAATAGTCACCATTTTACCAAAACTACGGACAAGACCCGACAGTACCCATGACCCCGAATCCCGACAACCCAGTACCACGAGCACAACAGTTCGCCGAAATATTACAAGCTGCACGGACCCGGACAGTAGACCCAATAAAAAAATCGAACATCATCGCTAAACGCAACGCCGACCGCCACCGCAGACCTGTCACTTACCAGCCCGACGGCTTAGTTTTACTTGACACTCAGAACCTCCGACTGCTTATCACCCCGAAACTCCGCCCTCGATACTGCGGGCCATTTCGCATAAGCCACATGCTTACACGCGTCACCGCCCACCTCCTCCTCCCTGCTGACTGGTATGTCAGCCCCTCAATTCCACGTCAGCCTACTTCGCCCTTACGTCCTGTCCACGAGCCAACTGCCACGCAATCGCCCAGCCAGCATGACAAGACCACCAACTGAACCAATCATCACCCCCGAGAAAATCCTGAGTCACAGGGTTTGCGACCCTCGAGGAGCCCGAAGGATCGAGTTCTTACTCCGCTGGAAGGACCGTACACCCACCGAAGACAATTGGGTTCCCCTGGACAAAATCGAAAACCACCCCGTCCTCACGGAGTATCTGCGCAGCCGAAATTTCAGGGATGTACACGCACTTTCGTAAGGAGGACCTCCTTAGGGGGGGGGTAGTGTAAGGAAAATTCCTTTTCCTTACTTCGCATCCCTGCTCAACGCGTACATCACTATAGCACCACAGTCAGCACCGTTACCACTCGCAACCCTCGCATCGACAATCCGCCCGCCACCTTCGCACATCGCACCCCGACCTCACGGCTCGGCGGGTAACCCGCGCTCCGGGCCTCCGCTTCGACACTTTTCCCAACCTCAGTCCCAGGCTCGTCGCGCGACAACCACAGTCCATTACCGTTACTGTCAGAATCCCAACCACTAGACCATTGGGATAAAAGGGCTTGTTTCAGTAGCGGGTCAGTGCGCCCATAACCCCCCAGGCGAACGCGCCTGTAACCCTCTCCAGGATCAATCGGGCATCCACAGTGCAGATCTACTGACACCCCCCCACGCTGAGAGGCCCAGGACAAAGCACAGCGGCAACGGTCTATATGTGCATGCTCTAGGAATCGAACCCAAAACCGCTCTGATACCATGTCAGAATCCCAGCCACTAGACCACTGGGATAAAAGGGCTTGTTTCAGTAGCGGGTCAGTGCGCCCATAACCCCCCAGGCGAACGCGTCTGTAACCCTCTCCAGGATCAATCGGGCATCCACAGTGCAGATCTACTGACAGTTACCACTGTAGTTTCGCTATATATTCTTCGCTTATGCGTTTGCTCATTGTACTCTTGCTTCGATAGTGCAATTCTCGTCTGTTCACTCAATTGCACTCGTAAGACATTGTTTGCAAGATGTGCATCCTTTCTTATGAAAATGAATTAAGATCTGAAAGACAGGTACCAGTACTGGCATTTAAATGCGGCAGTGGAACAAAAAAACATGTTACAAAAAAACATGTTACAAACTTCGAAGCGTGCAATAATGCGCAAATTTCACTACGCGGGTGCTTGGTTCTACGAGGCAATCAATACCCTAAAATGTCCTCGGAGAGGGACAGCAGGGCAGGGAGGGCACTGGGTGGAAATTTCCGCGCAAACAAAAAGCAGGTGCGCTTCTTTCCATTTAAAGAGCATGGTAGCGTGTACGCCTGCAGCCGAGACAACAAACAAGGACAGAAATCCAGTCTCTCTCAGCCCTTTCAATCACTCCACCAAAATAAATCTCAACACACTCCTAATCATTTGACTCTCACTTCCTCTCCCTACCAATCCAATCCCCCTGCCCTGCTCCTCATTTTGCCTAGAATTCCTCTTTCTACCTCTTCAAACCCCCCTGATTCCTCCCACACTCCACCATCCACTCATTCTCCCCTCTCCACCTCTCTCCCAACCCACCCCCTCCCCTCCTCTCCCACCTTCCCCCTCTCCCTTTCCTCTCCTCCCCCTTCCCCCGCACCCCCCCATTTCATCCCACAATGAACACTTACACTCTGAGGAGTCTTTTCTCGATGCTCCTGATAGAGATGGTCCGGCGGGAAAGATGGTGAAGAGACGGGTACATGAGAGCAGCACAGGGCACAGGAAGGAGTCACATTGTTGTCAGGCCATTTGTGCTGATTGCATTTCAACTGCAGAGGTGTGGAATACACATGGAATCTGATAGATTTAACGAGAACAAAACACTGTACTTTTGAAACATCCAGTATATGGTGTTTGGGAAAGAATGTGAAGTGGAATAGGGTCCACAGCAGCGATGGTGAGGGACATTGTTTGGGCCGCCTTGGATTGGAAGCAGTGATGCATGGAGGCCAGATCGACTGTAGAGAAATAGCGACAAGGGCAGAGGCTAAGAGGTCAAGAGCCTAATAGGGGAAGAGAAGAGAGGGTAAGAGACCAAGAGGCGAAATTCAAGAGCAGCAGGCGACTCATAACCACATTCACGAGACTGTAGTCAAGGGGCTCCTGAATCGTGCCGAAGTGACGGTAGAGGACACGAGGCGTAGAGGATAAGAGGCGAAGGTTAAGAGGCTAAGAGGATAAGAGGCGAAGGTTAAGAGGCTAAGAGGATAAGAGGCGAAGGTTAAGAGGCTAAGAGGATAAGAGGCTAAGAGGATAAGAGCCGAAGGTCAAGAGCAGCAGGCGACTCACAACCACGTTGATGAGACTGTAGTCTAGGGGCTCCTGAAACATGGAGGAGAGAGAGACAGCACACAAGGGCGCACACGGGGGCATGGATGAGTTGAAGTGCGGGTGAGGTGAGTTTAGCGGCAGCTTGTACCGCCACGTCGATGAGACTGTAGTCTAGGGGCTCCTGAAACATGGGGGAGACAAGGACAGAGAAAACGGCTGAGACAACACACATGGAAGAAAAAAGGGGTGCGGACAGAGACAGGATGGTGAGAACAAGCAGAGACAGGATGGTGAGAACAAGCAGAGACAGGATGGTGAGAACAAGCAGAGACAGGATGGTGAGAACAAGCAGAGACAGGATGGTGAGAACAAGCAGAGACAGGATGGTGAGAACAAGCAGAGACAGGATGGTGAGAACAAGCAGAGACAGGATGGTGAGAACAAGCAGAGACAGGATGGTGAGAACAAGCAGAGACAGGATGGTGAGAACAAGCAGAGACAGGATGGTGAGAACAAGCAGAGACAGGATGGTGAGAACAAGCAGAGACAGGATGGTGAGAACAAGCAGAGACAGGATGGTGAGAACAAGCAGAGACAGGATGGTGAGAACAAGCTGAGACAGGATGGTGAGAACAAGCAGAGACAGGATGGTGAGAACAAGCAGAGACAGGATGGTGAGAACAAGCAGAGACAGGATGGTGAGAACAAGCAGAGACAGGATGGTGAGAACAAGCAGAGACAGGATGGTGAGAACAAGCAGAGACAGGATGGTGAGAACAAGCTGAGACAGGATGGTGAGAACAAGCAGAGACAGGATGGTGAGAACAAGCAGAGAAAGGGTGGCAAGGGAGCAAGCAGAGACAGGGTGGCAAGGGAGCAAGCAGAACATCTTCGTACCCCTCCAATCACTGTGAAGTTCTGAAAGAGGTCCGCAGTGATTCTGGGAGGGAGGAAGGACGTGGGGTGCTGCTGCAGGGGAGGGAAGCCCTCCAAACATGCACATTCCCACTCTTCCCCACTCTTCCCCACCTTCCCCACCTCCCCCCTACTCACTGTGAAGTTCTGAAAGAGGTCCACAGTGATGCTGGGAGGGAGGAAGGACTTTTGAGTCGAAGGACATGGGTCGACTCAAAAATCACCTCGCAGTGATGCTGGGAGGGAGGAAGGACGTGGGGAGCTGCCGATTCCTCGGTTACACCAAGACATAGCCAGCACATGCCCAACACACGCCTTTTCAACACACTGCGATGTTCTGAAAGAGGTCCTCTGTGATGTTGGGAGGGAGGAAGGAGGTGGGGTGCTGCTGCTTCCCCGTAAGCACCAACACACGCCCAGTACACGCTCAACACACGCCCCGCACACGCTCAACACACGCCCAGTACACGCTCAACACACGCCCAGTACATGCTCAACACACGCCCTGCACAAGCCCTCCCTACTCACTGTGATGTTCTGAAAGAGGTCCTCAGTGACGTTGGGAGGCAGGAAGGAGGTGGGGTGCTGCTGCAGGGGAGGAAAGTCCACATAGGTGATGGTGCGGTTGGCCACTCGACTGGGCTCCTTTATCTGTTGCGGGAGAGGAGAAGAAGAGAGACAGCGGACAAGGTAATGTGTGCGTAAAATCTAAAGGTTATCATGCGGTTGGCAATTAGTCTCTTTTGTGAATTCTCAAGAGTTAATTCCATATGCTGTTGGCCATCTGTCCAGGACCTGAATCTGCCGGGAAAGAGAGAGGGAGAGAGGAGAGAGACACAGGAAACGTGCAGGGAGAGGAGGGAGAGGAGGAACAGTGGTTTTTGGACGGCATAAGAACATGACAGTGTGTTCAGATCGGGAAAAGGAGGAACAAGAGGAGAAAGAAGAGCAAGGGGGTTAGGAGCAAGCGGAGCAAGTGGGGAGGGGCAAGAGCAGCAAGACGAGGAGCAGGAGTGAAGAAAGGAGCGCACATTGAGAAGGGTTGGAATGTAGTGTTCATCCGCGTAGCAGTGGTGATGCCACTTGTCGCCCTGCCATTGGCCCAAGCAAAAGAGACGGCAGACAGGCATGGGAGAGTAGACCAAAGAAATGGTGTTTACTTGAGGAACAGCTTGTGTTGAGGTGACAAGAGAGGCAAGGTGACAAGAGAGGCAAGGTGACAAGAGAGGCAAGGTGACAAGAGAGGCAAGGTGACAAGAGAGGCAAGGTGACAAGAGAGGCAAGGTGACAAGAGAGGCAAGGTGACAAGAGAGGCAAGGTGACAAGAGAGGCAAGGTGACAAGAGAGGCAAGGTGACAAGAGAGGCAAGGTGACAAGAGAGGCAAGGTGACAAGAGAGGCAAGGTGACAAGAGAGGCAAGGTGACAAGAGAGGCAAGGTGACAAGAGAGGCAAGGTGACAAGAGAGGCAAGGTGACAAGAGAGGCAAGGTGACAAGAGAGGCAAGGTGACAAGAGAGGCAAGGTGACAAGAGAGGCAAGGTGACAAGAGAGGCAAGGTGACAAGAGAGGCAAGGTGACAAGAGAGGCAAGGTGACAAGAGAGGCAAGGTGACAGGGGTGAAGAGAAGCTGAGGGACTCACCCGGCAGTACTTTTGGAAGAGTGCGTGAATGGTGTCGTCATCGATGATTATGTTGACATGCCGTTTTTGAGACATCTCAAATTGTAATTATACGAGTGAAGGGACTCCTTCCCTACTGGACTACTTGAGAGTAAGGCCGACGGACTTTGTTGACTCACACGGCAGTACTTTTGGAAGAGTGTGTGAATGCTGTCGTCATCGATGATGATGTTCACATGCCGCCTTTGAGAAAGACAAAACGTTTAAGACGCTTCAAAAACAGGGTTGAAGGGACTCACCCGGCAGTACTTTTGGAAGAGTGCATGAATGCTGTCGTCATCGATGATGATGTTCACATGCCGCCTCGTGGCCGCAAACCACTGCCATACCCATATGCATGTCCCATGCCCACATGCATGTGCCATGCCCACATCCATGTAACAAGACACGCCATGCTTGCACATCATGTGCACATTCACAGACGTGCCATGCCATGCCCACATGCTTTTGCCATGACATGCCCCCATGTAAGCGCCATGCCACGCCATGCTCGCGCATCGTTTGCACGTTAAAAAACATGTCATGCCATGCCACGCCATGTTCCACACGAGTTACGCATGCCATTATCAAAACACAGCAAGTAAAGTGACACATGCCACACACACACACGACATTACAGACAAAAACTACACTGGATATGCAATAAAAAATGCCATCTCTTCTGCGCGTGATCCCTCACCTGCCCTCCGCCCCTCACATACAACCCCTTCCACTAATTAGTCGATTTTTTAGTCGACTCAAAAATCGACTCACTACACGCCCCTCACATGCAACCCCTTCCACTAATTAAGCAATATTCTTGGCTGCATGTGCTTTTCTTGTCGTACCACCACCTCTCACCTGCCCTCCCTCCGCCCTTTTCCGTTACCTCTGAACCTTCTTCCATGCCTTCCCTTATCCCATCACCTGCCCTTCCCCTCACCTGAGGCCCCCTCCGCCTCTGGCTAAGCGTTAATCTTTCACTGCATGTACTCGTCGTATCTCCACCCCGCACCTACCCTACCCTTCACCCTTTTCCCTCACCTCTACTCATAACTCCTACTTTCATCTAACTGCCCCTGCTCCCCCATCATCTGAGACCCCGTCCGCCTCTGGCTGAGCGAGACCATGCACTGCACGTGCTTCTGGTAGGGTGATATGGTCGAGCGTGTGGTTTTGGTTTTTGAGAATTCTCAAAAACCAGCTCGTATCATACGTGCTTCTGGTAGGGTGATATGGTCGAGCATGTGGTTTTTGAGAATTTTCAAAAACCAGCTCGTATCATATGTGCTTCTGGTAGGGTGATATGGTCGAGCGTACGGTCTTGGTTTTTGAGAATTCTCAAAAAACACATCTTCCGCCACTGGAGTTCCGAATTGTGCTGTACTGATGAAGGCGTGATTGGGTTCACCCATCCGCGGAAACTAGTTTACGCAAGGAGGCTTTTCGAAAGCTAAGGGTTTTTCAGATCTGCGTTTTTTCACTAAATTTTTTCACTGTTGTTCCTTTGCTAAGCGTTCATTCAACCACTGCAGCCCTTCGAACATGAGTCAAGGCAATTCTAAAGAAAACACATCTTCCGCCACTGGCTGAGCGTGATCTTGCTTGCACTGCATGCGCTTCTGGTAACTCCTCCCCTCTCCGACCCATGACCCCTGTTCTCCCGACTCCGACCGTCACTACTCTATTGCTCCTCTTACGGCTTGCGTGCCCTCCCCCCTCATCTGCACTCACCTGCGACCCCTTCCGCCACCGGCTAAGCGTGATCCTGGGCTGCATGTGCTTGTCGTACCGGCCAGAGCACACCGGCTGAGCGTGATCCTGGGCTGCATGTGCATTTTGAGGCGCCTCAAATACAGTCGTACCCCACCCCTCTCTTCACATTGACGCCTGTTCCCATGCCTCTAGGCATTACTCCCCCACCCGCCCTTGCTTCCCCTGCCCTCCCCTCTCACCTGCGACCCCTTCCGCCACTGGCTGAGTGTGATCTTGGGCTGCATGTGCTTGTCGTACCGGCCAGAGCACACCGGGCGATCAATGAAGAAGCTGCACAGCGATAGGAGGGGCAAGGCGCGAGGAGGGGTGAGGGGCGAGGAGGGTTGAGGGGCGAGGAGGGTTGAGGGGCAAGGAGGAGTGAGGGGCGAGGAGGGTTGAGGGGCGAGGAGGGTTGAGGGGCGAGGAGGGTTGAGGGGCGAGGAGGGTTGAGGGGCGAGGAGGGTTGAGGGGCGAGGTGGGTTGAGGGGCGAGGAGGGGCAAGGCGCGAGGAGGGGTGAGGGGCGAGGAGGGGTGAGGGGCGAGGAGGGGTGAGGGGCGAGGAGGGGTGAGTGGAGAGATGATATTTAAAACGTCTGAAAACGCATGTGCTTGTCGTACTGGCCAGAGCACACCGAGTGATCGATGAAGAAGCTGCACGGCTAGAGGAAGGGCGAGGGGCGAAAGGAGAGGGGCGAGGGGCGAGAGGAGAGGAGAAGCGAAAGGAGGAAAGATGGGACGGGAGGACAGCGAGGAAGGGAGCGACGAGGGGGAGGAGGAGGGGGGGGGGAAGGGAGGGAGAGAAAGGAGGAGGAATTATGCAGTATCCCAAGCACACTGGGAAGACGGTGAAAAAGCAGGCGAGGGAAAAACGAAGGAGTCACCTGAGCATTCTAAAGAGCACCTGAGCCTTCCAACCAGCACCTGAGCCTTCCAACCAGCACCTGAGCCTACTATCTGGGCAGGCACCTGTAATTGGAAACAATAATTCCATCCGTCCAGTCCCCCAAAATGCACCCAGATACCTGAAATGTTCTGGACACCGGAAAAAAACCTGAGAATCCACCTGGAATCACCTGGAGACGAAGCTGTAGCGAGTGCCCATCAGGTAGTCCCAGATGTAGTTGAAGCTCTTCACGGGAATGCACCTGAGATTGGGGGAAGAGGACGGGTAAGTAGGTGTGTGTGAGGTGATGCACGAGGTGAGGTGATGCACGAGGTGAGGTGATGCACGAGGTGAGGTGATGCACGAGGTGTGGTGATGCACGAGGTGTGGTCGCACGAGGTGTGGTCGCATGAGTGTGTGGTCGCATGAGTGTGTGGTCGCATGAGTGTGTGGTCGCATGAGTGTGTGGTCGCATGAGTGTGTGGTCGCACGAGGTGTGGTCGCATGAGTGTGTGGTCGCACGAGGTGTGGTCGCATGAGTGTGTGGTCGCACGAGGTGTGGTCGCATGAGTGTGTGGTCGCACGAGGTGTGGTCGCATGAGTGTGTGGTCGCACGAGGTGTGGTCGCATGAGTGTGTGGTCGCACGAGGTGTGGTCGCATGAGTGTGTGGTCGCACGAGGTGTGGTCGCATGAGTGTGTGGTCGCACGAGGTGTGGTCGCATGAGTGTGTGGTCGCACGAGGTGTGGTCGCATGAGTGTGTGGTCGCACGAGGTGTGGTCGCATGAGTGTGTGGTCGCACGAGGTGTGGTCGCATGAGTGTGTGGTCGCACGAGGTGTGGTCGCATGAGTGTGTGGTCGCACGAGGTGTGGTCGCATGAGTGTGTGGTCGCACGAGGTGTGGTCGCATGAGTGTGTGGTCGCACGAGGTGTGGTCGCATGAGTGTGTGGTCGCACGAGGTGTGGTCGCATGAGTGTGTGGTCGCACGAGGTGTGGTCGCATGAGTGTGTGGTCGCACGAGGTGTGGTCGCATGAGTGTGTGGTCGCACGAGGTGTGGTCGCATGAGTGTGTGGTCGCACGAGGTGTGGTCGCATGAGTGTGTGGTCGCACGAGGTGTGGTCGCATGAGTGTGTGGTCGCATGAGGTGTGGTCGCATGAGTGTGTGGTCGCACGAGGTGTGGTCGCATGAGGTGTGGTCGCATGAGTGTGTGGTCGCATAAGGTGTGGTCGCATAAGGTATGCACGATTGCTGGGAGCAAGAGTGTAAGATTCTGAGAGCAACACTAAGTGGTGGTTCGCGGGTTCTGTGAGTGCCGCAGCCATGAGGCGTCCGATTCAGATCACAGGCGCCTCAGAAATCAGTTGCGCGATCCGGAAAAAGAAGGGTGTATGTATGGTTCGAGAACAAGAGGGCGTACGTACGATTCGGAGAGCAGCACAAAGCGGTGGTTGGCTGGATCCGCAAGAGCAGCAGCCATAAGGCGCCTCTCTGCGTCCACCATGGTGGGTAGCCCCCATCCCACCTGGAGGTGGGGGGAGGTGAGGTGGAGAGGAAGGAGAGGCAGGAGAGGCAGGAGAGGAAGGAGAGGAAGGAGAGGAAGGAGAGGCAGGAGAGGAAGGAGAGGAAGGAGAGGAAGGAGAGGAAGGAGAGGAAGGAGAGGAAGGAGAGGCAGGAGAGGAAGGAGAGGATGGAGAGGAAGGAGAGGCAGGAGAGGAAGGAGAGGAAGGAAAGGCAGGAGAGGAAGGAGAGGAAGGAGAGGAAGGAGAGGCAGGAGAGGAAGGAGAGGAAGGAGAGGCAGGAGAGGAAGGAGAGGAAGGAGAGGAAGGAGAGGAAGGAGAGGCAGGAGAGGAAGGAGAGGAAGGAGAGGAAGGAGAGGCAGGAGAGGAAGGAGAGGAAGGAGAGGCAGGAGAGGAAGGAGAGGCAGGAGAGGCAGGAGAGGAAGGAGAGGAAGGAGGAGTTAAGAGTTGACACATGAGGCACATCGCTACGCGTCCACCATGGTGGGGAGACCCCATCTTACCTGGCGGAAGGGGGGATGATTTGGGAGAAGAGGAGAGCGAGGAGAGGAGGAAGGAGGAGGAGATGATGGAGGAGGAGAAGGGAGGAAGAGGAGAGAGATGCATGTGCGTGTGATGATTTGCAACAAAACGAGCAGATAGACCAATGAGGTGTGTCGGGCGCCAATAAGACCAATGAGGTGTGTCGGGCGCCAATAAGACCAATGAGGTGTGTCGGGCGCCAATGAGACCAATGAGGCGTGTCGGGCGCCAATGAGACCAGTGAGGCGTCTTGGGCGCCAATGATATACGTGTCAAGTCAAGAGCACGCACAGTTCACTGCATGTGGTGTGGCTGCTGAAAACGGTGGAGGCGTTTAGTTGATTTGAGGCGACTAAAAAGTCGCCTCAAGTGTATTGAGACCAACCAGCCTAGAGCATGCTGCACGCACCTGCTCGCTGCGGATGGTGTTGTTGCTGAAGAGGGTAGAGGCGTTCTTGGGGAAGGTGTAGTCTGGGGAGGCATGCACGTAGATGGAATACCGCCCCTCGTGGCCCTGCAGGTGGCATGTGGGGGAGGTGGCATGCGGGGGAGGAGGCATTGGACAGAAAACCTGGCGTTTTTTTGTCTCGAGATGACGCCATTAAAGGACCTATCTGGAGGGGAACCGTCCCCACAGAGGGGCAAGCGGCACGGCTCCCTTGGTGAGGAACATGAAGGCCACTTTCCGCTCCCGCCGCGGCACCTGCAGCGCGAGCTCCTCGCGAACAAGGTAGTGAAACCACAGACAGACCTACCTTGAAGAATCTCTCCCAGAGCGGAGCCAGCGGTACAGCCCCTTTTGTGAGGAACATGAACGCCACCTTCCTCTCCCGCCGCGGCACCTGCAGCGCCAGCTCCTCGCGCTGCCAGCGGAAGCGGCGCAGCACGTGCAGCATCTCGCGGTCCGCGCGGGAGAGCTCTAAATCGCGGATCATGTCGAGCGACGGCCCGAACTTGCGATCCGCTTCATTACAGGGGAGGTGTTCCGTGTGGTAACACGTGAATTCCGGTTTCCCGTTCGCCATTGGCTGCCTGTATTCGCGGAGATACACCGCGCCGGTCCCCCTGCCGGTTCCCCCGCCGCGGGCGCCGCGGGCGCCGCGGGTGCCGCTGCTGCTGCTGCTTCCCCCGCCTGTGGCGGCGAAGTTCGGACGGGGTTTTAAGGCGGAGGGGACGACGCCGAAGGCTGCGGTGGAGTTGAGTTGAATGAGAGAGCGGAGGGCGGCGGGGGTTTGAAGGGCGCGGGGGAGGGCGTCGGGGGTTGCGGGCGGCCGGGTTTGGACGTATGCGACGAAGAACAAGAGGGCGATTGCGAGGAGGACGGCGAAAATCTGGACCGTTCGACTGGATCGCGATGATGGAGATGACGTGGGTGGGGTGGGAGCCGAGCAGATCTCCATAGCTGAAGGTGTTTCCATGAAGGAATTCCTGGTGGTTGAATTGTTAGTATCGTACGCAGTGCGTGACAGGCTGAATGCGTGTGCCTTTTGAGACACCTCAGAGGCCTAATGCCTGTGCGTGGTCGGTCGTCTCCTGTCCTGCGCTCGCCCTACAAACAGCGATACAAAAAGAGCAGCTCGTTTTAACCTAACGGAACGAAAGTGAGTCTGGATTCCCGAGACCTTGAATCCCTCATCTCCTGGATTGTTGTAATCTCTAACTCCTAGCCTCCTGGATTTTCACTGTGACGGAGCTCGTCTTTCAGAGTTGTCGTGCCAGGTATCACTTCGAAGCTAGCTGTCCACGATCGGCATTTGAGACATCTCAGTACTCGTACGGCGAATCCACTGACACGCAAGCTAGAGTTTCCGATGCATTGTGTCGTCAACAAGACTTCAACAAGAATTCATCGAGATGTCATTTCAGTAAACCGCCACCTCAATTCCGAACGATTTGAAACTGGCAGGCTCGTTCAGTGTAGCACAGTCAGGGGACCATGAGCACCATTAGAGGAATCAGCAGCTGCGCTCCTGACGCAATATGCCTATTTTACACGTGTATTGCGCTGTGCTGCTAGCGAGCAAGTCCGGCTCGTCTGTTTCGTGACCACACGGGATTGCACAACGGAAGTTCCGGCTTGGATGGAACTCTAGCAACCCACAGAACCTAGGTAGTGAAACGAATGGAGGATTCAGGCCGACCAGCCAATCCGAGGCGTTCCCCGATGTCTCCGCGATCTGTTGGGGTGTCAGGCGTAATCGCTTGGATGCACTTGGCACTTCGTTACTAGTGGAAGTGGGCAGCTTTGAAAGGGCAACCCAACCCAAAATTGTATTATGGTGTACGAAGGAAGGAGTATTTTACAAGAAAAATCTGTACCATACTATCCATCCCACATTCTTCAATGTAGTGATGCACTGCATACACGAGTGAACTGTACGCTTCTTCCAGCTGCTACTGTCCCCACTGATTCCACATGGACAAATGCCCCACACCACCAAGAGGTGCATTGCCACTATCAGTGGCACCATTATGCATCAGAGTACCATCACTGCCGAGCACCATGCCATCTCCCACGCCCTGGATCACAGGCAAATTTGCATCCTTGCTTGCCTCATTCCCTTCCCACTGCATTCCGACTCCCATCGCCCCAGTCGACTCTACTCTCCCTTGGGATTGACCCACCAACACAGGGTTCACCTCATTTGTCCGACCAATCAAACCCTGGCCCACGGGAGCACCCTGTTCCATCCATGCTTCTTGTGACTGGCTATAGCTTTGCACAGGCATGCTACTTTGCTCGTCAACTGGAACAACCACCTGTTGTTGCTGCAGCTGCTGCTGCCACTGCTGTTGTTCCGGTTGCCACTGGGGCTGTTGCTGCATTGATTGCCCAACCTGCAATTGCTGACTAAGCTGCTGCTGGTGCTCCTCCCATAGCTGTTGCTGCCATTGTTGTTGCTGCTCCTCTGACCACTGCTGCTGCTGCTGCTGTCCTTGCTCCAGCTGCTCCTGCTGCTGCTGCTGCTGCTGCTGCTGCCCTTGCTCCTGCTGCTGTGACCACTGCTCCTCCTGCTGCTGTGCTTGCTGTTGCTGCAGCTGCTGCTGCTGCTCCCATTGCTGTTGCTGCCATTGTTGTTGCTGCTGCTCGGACCACTGCTGCTCCTGCCCTTGCTCCTCCTGCTGCAGCTGCTGCTGTTGCTGCCCTTGCTCTTGCAGCTGTGGCAACTGCTCCTGCTCCACCTCCTGCTGCTGCTGTTGTCCTTGCTCCTGCTGCAGCCACTGCTGTTGCTGCTGCTGCTGCTGCTGCTGCTGCTGCTGTCCTTGCTCATGCTGCAGCCACTGCTGTTGCTGCTGCTGCTGCTGCTGCTCCAAACCACCATCACCCAGCCCCACACCACCAGCACCATCCACTGAGGCAGAAACCCCCTGCTGCAAACCTGCCTGCCGTGCACCAACTCCCTGCTGCAAACTGGCCTGCCCTGCACCAATACCCTCCTGCAACCCCACCTGCTCTGCCCCCACCAGCTCAGCAGACCCACACTCGTGGCTGGCACTGAAAGCAGCGTTCACGACCTCGACAGCGCTTGGATCCCCATCCCTCACGCCAGCTGCCACGGCCGCTGCTCTCGCAGGGTCAAACCCCCGCGCCAGCAGCAGAGACTCCATCATGGCTACCAGCTGCCCCGGAGTCATCGGGGGGGCTTCAATCGGGGCTTCCATCGGGGCTTCGATCTGCGCTTCAATCGGGGCTTCAACTGAGGCTTCAAGAGGCTCAGAGGGGTATGCAGCTTCACTCGGGTATTCACTCAGAGGTTCAATCGAGCTGTGGTTCGGGAGCTGGCTCGGAGCTGGGGCCTCGGCTAGATTCGACGGGGCTAGATTCGACGGTTGAACGGGAGGGCCTTGAGAGTGCATTGACTCAAACGGCATCTGCGGCGCCTCGAGATTTGCAGCATGTGACACAAAGTTTGGGGCTTCACTGGAAGGTTGACTTGGATATTCACTTGCAGGTTCACTGGGATATTGAATCGAAGGGCTTTGCGGGTGCGTTGAGACAAACGGCTCAAGTGAAGGTGCTGCGGAGGCGAGGAGTGCACGAGGGCTTGTGGTGGGGGCTTGAGTGTAATGGGGAAAGTGGGCAGCAGGAGGCAGAGTGGGTGGCATGGGTGGCAAGTGTGACTGTGTGGGCGGCAAAGAAGGACCCGAGGAAGGATGGCGGAAGGCTGATGGTGCATTGGAAGGAAACTGTTGTAGCTGCTGCTGCTGCTGCTGCTGCAACCGCTGTTGCTGCTGTTGCTGCTGTTGTAGCTGCTGCTGCTGCAGCTGATGTTGCTGCTGTTGCTGTTGTTGATATTGCTCTTGATAACGCTTGTGCAGCAGCAGTAATTGCTGCTGCTGGTGCAGCTGATGCTGCCGTTGCGCAATCTGTTGCTGCTGCAGCTGCTGTTTCTCAAGCTGTTGCTGCTGTTGCTGCAATTGCTGATTCTGGTGACTCTGCCACTGCTGATGGTGCACCTGAACTTGATATTGCCGCTGTTGCTGCTGCTGTTGCTGCTGCTGTTGCTGCTGATTTTGTTGCTCTTGCTGCTGATATGGCTGTTGCAGCGGCGCAGGGAGAGGGATATTGTGAGGAGCAGTGAAAGGGGCAGGGAGAGGGGCAGGGAGAGGAGCAGAGGGAGTCGCAGGAGGCCCCAAATGACCTGCTACCAACACTGTTCGACCAACAGGGAGGTTTCCAGGAACGTTCTGGGCAGAAGCAAGGCCAGAACCTCGAAAGGCGCTGCTTGCACTGTTCTGCTGTGCAGCCTCGTTAATAACCTCCCCTTTATCCGCAGTAGACGCTGATCGCGGCCTGCGTGGTCGTAACCTCCTGCCTTGACCCTCTGCCCCTCCTCCCGCTCCTCCCACTCCTCCTGCTCCTGCCCCTCCTCCCCCTCCTGCCCCCACTCCTCCGGTTGCAGCAGCAGCTGCAGCAGCTGCTACTGCTACTGCTGCTGCTGCTGCCTCTGTTAATCCTGCCCCTCGTCTCCCTCCTTTCCCACTTCCTCCTCTGCTGCCACCACCTGCTGTAGTTTCTGCAGGAAGATTGCCACCTGGAAAACCACCAGGGAATGCACCTGACAACCCACCTGACAGCCCACCTGGAAATCCCCCTGAAAATCCACCTGGACCAGACTCCACCTGATGGGGAAACATTGCATGCTGTGTCCCCATTTGCTGTCCAAAATGCTGCTGCTGCTGCTGCTGCTGCTGTTGCTGATATTGCTGCTGATACTGCTGTTGCAGCTGCCATTGCTGTTCTTGCAACAGCTGAGCGCCACTGGCAGCACCACCAGCACCAGCAGCCGCAGCAGAAAAACCAGCTACAGAAGCATTACCCACAAAAGCACCAGTACCAGGACCTTCGGACACTCCTATACCAGCCATACCAGCAGCAGAACCAGCGGCACCCGCACCAGCAGCAGCAGCACCACCACCACCATCAGCAGCACCAGCAGCAGCATATGCACCAGTCCCAGTACCACCCGTGGCAATCCCAGCGCTACCCATCAGCTGTGCTTCCATCGCTGCCCCATCCATCAGATCTGTATCCGTGGGCAAAGGAATGTTCCAGAACGACCCATCCTCCCCCTCCACCCCCCCCACCTCCCCCTCCTCCTCCGCCCCATGGTTCCCCTCCTGAACCCCCAACCCCGGCACCAGCACCGGCCCCACCCATCCCATCACCTGTTGCTGTCAGCTGCGAGTCGAAGAACGAATCAGGGTCGATGTTCTCTGCCGTTATAATCACACCTGGTGCTACCGCGTTCCCTGCAGTCACTGTTGTTCCGGTGGCCTGACCCATCATTGCCTCACCACCAGCAACACCAACAGGATAGCCAGGAGACTGCTCCACTGTCCCAGCTCCCCTGCTGCTTTTTCTCCTCCCCCCTCCTCTTCCACCTCCTCCCGCCTTCCCTCCCTTACCTGCCCCTCCTCCCGCCCCTCCCCCTCCTGCTCCTCCCCTTCCCCCTGCTCCTCCTCCTGCTGCCACTTCTGCTGGTGTTTCGTCAAGAGCAGGGGCGGCAGCGCCATGTGGCGGCCAATCCAAGGGGTCCACGTGGTTTGGACGGCAGGGATGCAGCTTGTTGGCGATCTTACGGCAGCGGTTGCACTTGAGGTAGAGCAGGATGGGGATGTCGAGATTTTCGTCGAGCTGTAATGTATCACCATGAAACCAGGCTGGGGAACGGGGAAATAGGGTACCAAAAGAAGGAAATAAGGAGAGGCAAGGAAAGGGGAGAGGGTTGTTTTGAGCGTCAGGAAAGAGTGCATCGCTAGATCCGGAAAAGGGAGAGGTAGAGCCGGATCGGAACGTCCGGCTGCTCGTCTAGCTGCAACGTATCGCCGTGAAACCAGGCTGCAGAAAGGGGAAATCGGGAAGCGAAAAAAGGAGAAAAGGGAGAAAGAGGAGTGTTTCTGAGAGTTACAGGCCAAGAGTGCAGTTGAGGTAAAGCAGGATCACCATGAAACCATGGTGAAAATCGAGAAAGATGATTGTTTCTAGCTGCATGTCTAGCTGTAGCGTGTCACCATGAAACCAGGCGGGGAAAAGGGGACAGGGGAAAGGGGAAAAGGGGAAAGAGGAAAAGGGGAAAGAGGAAAAGGGAAGGCAAGAGTGCACGTGAGGTAGTTTCCTTCCATTCTCGGGGGATGTTCCCTGCATGGGTACATGTCTTGCACCTCCATTCTCCTTCAGAACTGTGACGTGGGCTGGGGGAAGGATTAGGAGAATGGAGGGAAATAGAAAGGAGCAAAGGGAGAGCAGGATAGAAGGGAAAAGGAACACAAAACAAGACGGCTGATTCCGCACAAGCTCAGTTTCAAGAGGCTTACAATCACAGAAGTTGCAGGCAACATAGAGGCGGCTCTCATCATACCCCTGCTTGCACAACCTGCACGCCACTCCCGCTCCCATACCCACCAACAAACAGAAACAAGCCCTCTTTGGCACCCCATACGCTCAGCTTCAGCTTACCATCGCAGAAGTTGCAGGCGACGTAGAAGCGACTCTCATCATACCCCTCCTTGCACAGCCGGCACGCCACTCCCGCTCCCTCCCCCATCCCATGCACCCCCATCGCCTTCCTCCCCCCTGACCCTGACGGTATATACTTCAACTGCAGCCCCCTCTCTCCCTCCGGTCTCTCCTTCTCGCCCTTTCCTGAGGCGAAATAATATCCTGCGACTGTGTGCCGGTTGCCCGGAGTCCCGGGCAGCGTCCAAACCGGGTGCTCTGCCCGGAAAACTCTCCGCCTCCTTTTCTGCTCATCATCATGCCCTTCTGCTGCTGCACAACCAGCACCAACACCACCAGCAGCAGCAGCAGCAGCACCGGTACCACCAGCAGCAGCAGCATCACCGTAAGCGGCACCAGCCACACCAGCCGCACCAGCAGCAGCAGCAGAAGCAGAAGCAGAGGCCGCAGCGGTGGCGGCGGCAGCATCGGCAGCAGCAGCAGCTTCGGTAGCAGCAGCAGTGGCAGAGGCAGCGTCTTGTTGTGAAACGGAGAAGGCACAGTTGAGACAGACGAGGTGGAGGGAAGGGGGAGATGGGGATGGGGATGGCTCCGTCGAAAGGGCGGATTGGAAGGCCGGAGGGAGGAGGTCGGGGGGCGAGAGGCATGTTGCGTGAGTCAGAGCTGTGAGGGGGAGGGGGAGGAAATGGGGGAAGGAAAAAGGGTGGGGGGGCGCACGATGATTTCAGACTGAGACAAATGAGGTAGAGCAGCCAAAGCAGCAGTGGCAGAGGCAGCGTCTTGTTGGGAGACGGAGAAGGCACAGTTGAGGCAGACGAGGTGGAGGGATAGAAGGGACGGTGTTGGGGATGAGGATGGGGATGGGAATGGCTCAGTGGGAGGGGCGGATTGGAAGGCCGGAGGGAGGAGGTAGGGGGGCGAGAGGCATGTGGCATGGGTCAAGGCTGTGAGGGGGAAGGGGGAGAATGTTGGGGGAGCGGAAATTGGAGTTGAGTGGAACAATAGGCGTAATTAATTAATTAGGGCTAGGAAGACAGGAAAGGCAGACAAAAAAACCAAGTGAAGGAGCAGGAGTTGATGTGATAAGGCCTGGGAAACTTGGAGAGTAGCTCACCTTTACAGGAAACGCATATGAAGACCTGATTCGCGCTGCAGAGCGGAGGGACAGAGGGCAGAGCAGGAGAAAATAGAGAGTAGGGCGAATCAGAAAAGGGATAAAAACACGACTGCAAGAGGAAAAGACAGCGCAGAAGAGAGAGGAGAGGCACAATAAATGATCACTGCCAGGTGCAATAAGTTGATACGTTACGCAATCGCGTCATAACTCCCACATGTGAGACACCTTGCATGCACCCTTGTTGCCACTCACCCATCACCAACGAGCCCTCGAGTGCACACCCTGCACGGATCCACCACCGCCTCTGCTCCTCCTCCTCCTCCTCCTCCTCCTCCTCCTCCTCCTGCACCTCCTGCTTGACTCTTCACAGCCACCAGTCGAGCATACAGAGCAGAACACCTCTCCTCCATCTCCCTCTGCATTCTCCCCCGTGCCTCCGCCACGATTCTCGCCTGCACCTCCGCCCCCACCACCTGTGACATTCTCGTCATTGATGCCTGCTCCCTCTCCCTCCTCGCCCTCTCCCTCTCCTCCAACCGCCGCTGCCGCTCCCTCTCCCTCTCCTCCTTCACCCTCTCCTTCCGCTCCCGCCGATCCTCCTTCTCATGCTCCCTCGCCTCCCTCTCCCGCTCCCGCTCCCGCTCCCTCTCGCTCTCCCGCTTCCGCTTCTCCTCCCGCTCCTGCCCCTGCCCCTGCTTCTCCTTCCCCCGCCGCTTCCTCCCCTCCATCTCTCTACACTGAGCCACCATTGCCTGCACCATCAGCTCTCGTCTCTCCCTCATCGCCCGCACCTTCTCCCTCATGTACTTAACAATAACAGCCCTGGCGGCCGCCTCGGCTGCCTCTCTCTCTGCTCTGACTACCTTAGCATGCTCCTCCCAGATCTCTGTTCTCCTCCGGTGCTCAAACTCTCGGATCAGCTCCAATGGGACTAGCCTCTCTGGCACCCACACTCCCCCATCTTCGTCTTCTTCCTCCTCCTCGTCATCATCTTGCCCTTCCTCGTCACTCTCTTCTGCTTCCTCTACCTCCTGCACTTCTCTCATTTTCTCAATCTTCCTCTCTACCTTCCCTACTACTTGTCCATGCCCTTCCTCCCCTGTCTCCTTCTCCTGTTTCTCCACAAGCCGCAACTTGTTCTTATCAGCAACATCTACACTCCTCCCTCTGCCCCCTTCCACTCTTCCCCTTCCCCCTTTCTCACCTTTCTCCTCACCAACCTCCTCCACCGCTTCCACCTCCTCCACCTCCTCATCTTCCTTCACCATCACCACACCTTCTTCCTCCTCCTCCTCCTCTTCCTCCTCTTCCTTCCCTTTCTTCCCTGCCTTTACACCCCCCTTCACCCCACCTTTTCTTCCCTTCACCACATCCTCAACCGCAGCCTTCGCATCAGCTCTCCCCTTCTCTCCCACGCCCTTCTTCGCCCCGCCCTCCTCCTCCTTCACTCGGCTTCTCGTCACTCTCCGGCTGCCCTCAGGAATGATTTGAGGCTTCAGCTCCCGCTTACGCTTCTTCCCTGCCTTACCCTCCCCTTGCACCCCTACCTCCTTAACTCCCTCCTTCCCTCCGTCCTTCCCTCCCCTCTCCCCTTCCACCGCATCTGTGATCTTCTCACCACTCCCTCCGCCTCCACCTCCTATTACCTCCTCCACTTCCGCAACACCAGCAAAGGCAGCAGCAGCATCAGCAGAACCCGTGGGAGCAGCAGCAGCAGCTTCAGCAGAAGCGGCGGCAGCAGCAGCACGTTTGGCTTTCATATACTCAACCAGATGCTCCCCTCTCTTCCGTTTCTTACCAGCCGTCCCCCCTCCCCTCCCCCTCCCTGCTCCCCCTCTCCCACGTCCCCCACCCCTCCCACCCCTTCCACCTCTCCCTCTTCCTCTCCCCCTCCCTCTCCCCCTCCCTCTCCCTCTCCCTCTCCCCCTTCCTCTCCCCGTTTCCCTCTCCCCAAACAGATCCTCGTCCCTCTCTTCGTATTCCTCCTCCTCCTCCTCACTCTCCTCCTTCCCTCCCTCACTCCTCTCTCCATCCCCTCCCCATCCATCTTCATCTCCTGTGCATCCTTCATTCGCCTCTCTATTCCCAGGTGCCCCCTCCCCAGCGTCCCCCACTTCTGCAGTCACATTCCCCTCCTTCCCACCTGCCTTCCTCCTTCGTTTCCAAGGGTTCACCTTGTCATCAACGTTCAACTCTTCGTCAGCGTTCGCCTCTCCACCAGCGCTCTCACCAGCGGCGTTACAGCGATCCTTCTCCTCGTCTTCCTGTGACAGATCCACCGTTTCACCACCCACCTCACAAACACGCACATCCCCATCCCCATCCCCATCCCCATCACCATCACCATCACCATCACCATCACCATCACCATCACCATCACCATCAGCACTACCACCACCATCACCATGACCATCTACATTCAACGGCACTTCCTCCACCTCTTCGTTCCTCTCTTCCTCCGCTTCCTCCCTCACCTCCTCATCCTCCCTCATCTCCTTCCCAGGCGCCGCAAGAGTCGCCTCCCCACCTCCGCCACCCTCGCTCTCCTCCTCATCCTTCCCCGCCTCCACCTCCACGCCTTCAAGCCTTTGCGCTTCAGCAACACCCTCTTGAGGCGCCTCAAAAGTCGTTTCAGCAACGATCTCTTGAGGCGCCTCAAAAGTCACCTCAGCAACACCCTTTTGGGCAGCGATAGTCTGAGCTTCCAGATCTTGGGTCCCTTCAGTTCCTACTACCCATTGTGTCCCTTGTGTCCCTTGTGTCCCTTGTGTCCCTTGTGTCCCTTGTGTCCCTTGTGTCTCGTGTGTCTCTTCGGTTCCTTGAGTCCCATTATTTCCAGCATCTGCCCTCACTCCGCCTGCACCTCCCTCCCCTCCCACTGCCCCTCCTCCCCCTGCCTCCCATTCCCCCCCCTCCCCTCTTCTCACTCGCTTTGCCTCCCTCTCTGCCCCCAAACCCTCCTGAACCGCTACTTCCCTCACCTCTTCCTTCCTTTCCTCCTTAACTCCCACTACCTTCACTTCCACATCCTCTTTCCTTTCACTCCCCCTGGTCTTCGCCTCTACCTTTCCAACCGTCTCCAACTCCTCTTTAACCACCTCCTCTCTAACCGTCTCCTCTTTGATCTTTTCCACTTCATGTTTAACCAAAGCCTTCCCTTTCCTCTCCTTGACACCGGCCCCTGCCCCCACTCCCTCAATCACCTCCCTCTGCTTCCTCCTCCACGCCCTCAACCTCTCCCTCGCCCTCTTCTTCTTCCTCTTTCTCTCCTCTTCCGAGTCACACTCTTCCCCATCCTCCTCATCCTCTCCCTCCTCCCTTTCCTCCTCACTCTTCACAACTAGCAGATACTCCACCCCCCTCTCCGCCTTCCACCTCCTCCCTTTCACAAACGGCGGCCGAAAGTCCTTATCCAGAACGAACGAATCACGCGACGCCACGTCACACAACGAGACCCAGCTCTCCTCCACGTCATCACCATCCCCATAAACAGCAGCAGCACCACCACCAGCAGCAGCGGCACGTGCAGCGGCAGCAGCAGAAGCTACAGCAGCGGCGGCAGCGGCAGGAACGGCAACAGCGGGGGGACCGGCAGCGGTGTTGATTTGGTCTAATCGGATAAGGCCTTCAAGAGATCGCAGCTGCAGGGCCAGGTGGGCGACGGAGCGGGCAGCATCCACCCTCGCCTCCCACGCCACCTTCTCTGCCCGCACTGGCACCCCTCGCCGGCTGGCGAATGGCACTCCGTACAGCAGCCCTGGGAGCTTCTTGAAGCCGCCTGTGGGTGGGAAGGGGGAGGGGAAGGGGAAAGAAAGCAAGTAGGAGGGAAGTAGGGGGAACGGGAAGAAGGGGGAAAGGGGAAAAGGGGGGGGTGTTGATCAGACATAGTAACATAAGCCCTTCAAGAGATAGCAGCTGCAGGGCCAGGTGGGCGACGGAGCGGGCAGCATCCACCCTCGCTCCCATGCCACCTTCTCTGCCCACACTGGCACCCCTCGGCGGCTGGCGAATGGCACTCCGTACAGCAGCCCTGGGAGCTTCTTGAAGCTGCCTGTGGGTGGGAAGGGGGAGGGGAAGGAGAAAGAAGACAAGTAGGAGGGAAGTAGGGGGAACGGGAAGAAGGGGGAAAGGGGGGAGGTGGGGAAAGGGGAAAATGGGGGGGTGTTGATCAGACATAGTAACATAAGCCCTTCAAGAGATCGCAGCTGCAGGGCCAGGTGGGCGACGGAGCGGGCAGCATCCACCCTCGCCTCCCACGCCACCTTCTCTGCTCGCACTGGCACCCCTCGCTGGCTGGCGAATGGCACTCCGTACAGCAGCCCTGGGAGCTTCTTGAAGCCGCCTGTGGGTGGGAGGAGGGCGGGAGGTGGGAGCCAAGGGGAGGTTTGAGGCGTCTCAGAGGAGGGAGAGGATGGGAGCAATTAGAAATGTGGGGGAAGAGGCGGTTGGGGAACAGCACTCTGAAGACAGCAACCCTTTGAGGCTCCTTGAAAGCCCCTATGAGGGAGACGAGGGAGGGAGATCGATGGGAGGAAGGGCAGTGGGCAGACAGGAGGGGAAAAGGGAAAAGGGGAGTGCTTATCTGGTCCAACGGACAAAACATAACAATCTTTCCATTCAGGATCGTAGAATCACATTTTATTTGCCCTATTGCTGAGCCACTCACCTTGCCAAACCACGCCACATACCTTGCCGAGCCGCTCGCCGAGCCAAATCCCGAGGCAGCTGCTCCCAGTCCGCAGCGTGCTGAGCCAAGCCAGAGCCTCGGAACCACTGCACCTTGACCCGCACCGCTCGCCGAGCCTCCATCAGCATCACCCACGCCGGCACCGAACCTGCCCCTGCTCCTCCCCCGCCTCTCCCCCCTCCTCCAAACACACTCCCTGCCCCTCCTCTCCCTCCTTGAGACTTCCGCCTTCGGCCAGAGAGGCGCGGGGCAGCAGCAGGGGTGACAGGCTCTGGGTGTGCTTGTAACGGGAGGCTGGTTGGGAGGGGAGCGGGTGGCTCTGGTTCCGCCGACCAATGGGAGGAGAGGGCGACGGTGCGTAGGGAACGAGCCACCTCCTTTATAAGCTGCTTCGCTTGGAGTAGAGTAGTGGCTTGCACTGCGCGCTGCCGCCAGTGCTGGCGCCAGTTGAAATCGTTCCAAGGGCCTTCCAGCAGAGGGTGCAGCTGCCCTTCCAGGTACATCAACCGTGTCACTACAGCATCCAGCCTCCCATCTCTTGACGCCTCCTCCCCCTTCATGCCCCGCACCCCTCCCAGCCCCACCCCTCCCCCCACACCAAACCCCTCCAATTCTCTTCCCTTTCCCAAGCCTCCCGCCAGACCTCCCCCGAGCCTGCGCTGACTAGCAGCCCGGACGTTCCCGACAGCCGCGGCAGCAGTGGCAGTCGCAGAGGCAGCACGGGCAGCGGAGACAAGCAGGCAGTATTTCCTATGAGCCGCCTGGCAGTGCGCACACCAACCACACCGCTCCTTGAAAACACCCGCCCCTGCCGCTGCCGCTGCCGCTGCCGTCGCAGCAGAGCTTCTACCCCCTGCTCCCGCTGCCCCTGCTGCCCCTGCAGCCCCAGCCCGGCCGGAGAAACTGGCATACATCGGCCAGTACCCAGCAGGCATGCACTTCGCAAACACTCTCATCTGCTCTGTTACTGACATAAGCCCCTTAGACCGCCGCCCAGACCGCCTCGTTCTGTGCTCTGAGTCCTCCTCGTCTCTACTGCCTCCTGTGCCTCTCCTCTCCGCCTCCTGTGCGGCTGCTTCGGTTGCGGAGCAGAGCTCGAGGGCTAGCGCTGAGGATACCTCCCCCAGGGCGTAGCGGTTCGTGTACGGCTCTAGAAGATCTCCTTCTCTCGCCCGCTCTGCTCGCTCTGCCCTCTCTGCTTTATCCACCCTCGTTACCCACTGCGCCTGCTCTGCCTGCTGTGCTTGATGTTCCGCCTGCTCTGCCTGCTGTGCTTGATGTTTCGCCTGCTCTGCCTGCAAGGCTTCTTGTGATGCCACTCCGTTCAATGCTGTTGCCTGAGACAGGCTCTTCCGCACCTCGCCATCAGCAGGACCAGCACCAGTGGCAGCAGCAGGAGTAGCTTCTGCAACCTCCCCAGCAGCACCCACGCCGAGCCTCTCCCACAGCCTCGCCACCACCCGGGCAATCCGCTCTCCTCCCGGCTTCTGCCATGCATCCTCAAGCCTTTGTGAATGATGCTCTGAGCCCGCATGAGGTGCCAGTGAAGGGTCTGATAAGCCGGCCTCAGCTATCAGGGAAGGGGTTGACAAGCCCTGGGTTTTCTCCTGTTCACCAGCCGCCGCTGCTGCTCCACTGCTGGGCTCGTGTTCCTCCCTCTGCTGCTCTGCATGCTGCTCTGCTTGCTCTCTGTGTTGCTCTGCTTCGTTTGCTGCTTGTGCTGTTGCCTTGTCAGCTGCTCCTACTGCTGCTACCTCTGCTGCTTCTCCTTCTGGTGCCCCTGCTTCTACTGCCGCCGCTGGTGTTGCTGCTGCTGCTTCTTGCGCTCTTGCTTCTGATGCTCCTTCTCCTTCTCCTCCCCCTACACCATCTGCAGCAACTACCGAACCTTCTCCTGCAGCGTCTGCTGTCTCCTCTCCTGCCCCTGGCTGCACCTCAACCGTCGCTTCCTCTGCTGGTAAGAGCTGTTCAGACTCCTTCAGTACAAAAGAGAGGTCCGTCTGCATGGGATCCTCCTCTCCTTGTGCCTCTGCTTCTCCTATCTCTGCCGCTTCTGCTTCTCCTGTTTCTGCCATTCCACCATCTCCTGCCTCTGCCACTTCTGCCCCTTGTGCCTTGCCACTCCCTCCTACCCCCGATCCTATATCACCAGCAGTTACCGTATCCGCCCCAACCGCCGCCTCTGCTGTCTCAGTCAAATCTGCGGCCCCAACCATTTCTGAAACAACCCCTACAGCCTCGTCCCCTACAGCCTCGTCTGCCAGATCCCAAGCGCTCCCAATAGAAACACCGTCTGCACCGTCGTCTGAACCCTTCTCTGCGCACTCAGTCTCACCTCCATCCGCACAGCCCTCTGCGCCCCCACCTGCACCCATATCCACACAGCCCTCTGCACCCGCTCTTGCACTCACATCCACACATCCCTCTGCACCCTCTGCGCCCCCACCTGCACTCCCATCTACACAACACTCTCCAGCCCCATTCGCTCCCTCTTCTACCTTCACACCTTCCCGTCTTTCCCCCTCCCGTCTTCCCTCTTCCTCTCCATCCTCCTCCGCCGCCTCTGCTGTGACCATCTCAACGATCCCTCCTTCCCCCCCCTTTATCTCAACGATCCCTCCTTCCTCTGCCTTTATCTCGGCTGCACCCCCTTCTGCCCCCTTTATCTCGACTATAGCTTCTTCCCCCGCTTTCATCTCGGCTGCACCCCCTTCCCCCGCTTTCATCTCGGCTGCACCCCCTTCCCCCGCTTTCATCTCGGCTGCACCCCCTTTCCCCGCTTTCATCTCGGCTGCACCCCCTTCCCCCGCTTTCATCTCGGCTGCACCCCCTTCCCCCGCTTTCATCTCGGCTGCATCCCCTTCCTCCGCCATTATCTCGGCTGTAGCTTCTTCCTCCTCCTTAACCTCCGCTACATCCCCGTCATCTTCACCTGTAGCAACAGCAGCTCCTTCTCCTACCTCTTCTACCTCATTAGTATCCCCTTCATTAGTATCCCCGTCCCGCATCTCCACGTCAGCTGCGCCGTGCAGCTGTTCAGGTTCAATCTCAGGTGCCTCCACCCCACCCTCAGGTGCTTCTACACCATCGTCAGGTACCGCCACATCATCTTCAACTGCCTCAGAATCCCCTTCAGGTGCCTCCACACTGTCTTCAGGTGACTCGAGCTGCGGCAGTTCTGAGCGAACAAACGCCGCAACAGCCTCGTGGACAGCAGTAAAGGCAGGGCCGAGGGTGGATAGATAGTGCAGCAGGCTGGGGATGTCTGCAGGGCTGTAATATGCCACCACGTGGGTGCCATTGTGACGCTCCTCCGACCTGAATGTGAATAATGAGAACGGAAAAAACAGAAAGAAATCAGTTAGCGCATTTGGAGAAAAGCTGGTGCAGCAGGCACAAGGCTTGTGATGAGACTCTGAGGCAAGTTGTCACAGCGAAAACAGACACCACACTTACACAACAACACGGCCGCAGGAGCCATAGTAAACCCGGCCGTGCTGATCCTCCCCCAGATGCTCCCCTCTCATCCCCTCGGGCACCACCGCCCCCAGCACCTCGCCTGCCCTCCGCTTCATGTCACACTCCGGGCAGAACCAGTCCCCATCCGGCAGTGCTGCCGCCACCACTCCCACACAGCGCGAGTGAAACGCGCCCGGGCAGCCGTCGCAGCAGATCAGATTGCCGTCCATTCCGCATAGCTTACACTCGTCCGCGTTCCCGTCTGCCAGCTCATCTCCCGCGCCTGCTGACTCAGCAACACCACCGGTACCTGTCCCAACCACTGATAACCCTGCCATACCCGACGGCACCCCAGCAGCAGCGAGTGCGGAGATCCCAAGGCTCTGATACCCCACCTGCCCATAATCCCCCTCGTCATCCTCCTCACCTCCTCCTCCCCTCCCGACCCCTCCTCCTCCTCCCCTGCCTTTCCACCGGAGCAAGCACATCCTCGAGATTCTCCTCTTCCTCCTCCATACCAACCCCTGCCAGCGCATACCTCCTTTCTAGCTCCCCCTGCCGGCGCTCTATCTCTAGTCGCACCCTCACGCCGCTACTTAAAGCCTCGTCGCAGAGGAGCGAGAGGAAGTCGATCTTAGTGGAGGCGGGGAGGAGGTAGTAGTCGCAGGAGGCGAGGGCGGAGTGGCCGAGCCTGCGGCTGTTGAGGCGGGAGGACGAGCGGGAGGAGAGGAAGAGGAGGAGAAACTCCGGCCAGGTGATTTCATCCAGAGATGCTTTGTCCAGCTCCCTGTGATGCAGACTCCCACAATCGTCCTGCTTCTTTGGTCCCACCCCTCCCGCACCTCCCATTCCTCCCGCGCCCCCCGCGCCTCCCGCGCCCCCTCCGCCGCCTTCTCCCATCGCTGCTGACGAAGGATCGTAGTCCACCACACGCAGGAGCGCCACGTGGACGCTGTCTATTAGTGGGCTGGCGCGCGGGGTGGTGAGGGCGTGACAGAACTGGTCTAGAGTGAACGGGCTGAGGAACAGCTGAAGACTGAAAGAGCGAAGGAAAGAGTAGACGGAGAGAAGATCAAGAACGGACTCTGCTGGGACTGGCAGGTCGGTGGAGGAAGGCGGGAGGAGGGTTGAGACCGGTGGAGGTGGTAACGGAGGCGGTCTGGGGACATTATGGCGCGAAGTGTCGCGAAATTGGTGGAGAGTGTAACGAGGGGCTGATACTAACGCGGATGGCGGTGTAGAGAGATCGGGGGCATGGCGTTTGTTGTAAGAACCTGGGAGGGCAGCGGGGGTTTGCATGGGTGACGGTGCATCTGGGGTAGGTGGCGGCATGGGTCGCGCACGGGCGGGAAGAGGTGGGAGCTGGAGCACAGGCGGCGCGCCGCGTGCAGGCAGCGCCAGAAGGACTTGCCGTTGGTCAGTCTGCGACGCAAACAGATCCTGAAACGACTTGCCGCTGGAATGCTCTCCGCCTGAACCGGAAGGTCCACCACGGCACGAAATCAAATCCCCTCTAGAACCCCCCTCCTCCTGAACCTCCACATCCTCGTCCTCCTCCTCCACATCCGCCTCTTCCGCCTCCTCCTCGTCATCGCTGTCGGTATCTCCGCCAGAGGCGCGCGAGGATCCGCGGGTCCTTCTTCTACCGCCCTTGGGGGCCTTTCGCCCGGCCTTGCCCTGCGCATGCTGCTTCAACTGGCTCTTAGCGGCGCGCGCCTGATTAATGGCATCCCTAACTGAAAGCACGGGCTTCCCCGCAGGAGCCCCCCCCACAGCCGCGGACGCGTCGGTTGATCCTAGATCAACAGTCTCGGAGGAGAGGGCCGCGTTCGTCTTGCCTTTCTGTAAAACGGCTTCCGCTGAAAATGGCAACTTAACGGTAGCTGTACCATCCAAAACTGCCTGGCTTGGCTCGGACGTTCTGTCCGCGGCAGAGTCAGTCGAGTGACGCCATGCAGCAGGAGCCGGTTGTTTTCTCTTGGAGGAAATCGATGCAGGAGTTTGATCAGCTGCGGGAATATCTTTCGCCACGGGAGTATGCTTACCTGCGAGAGAACGTTTATTCGCAATTATCGGCGTGGAGTCTACGCTATGAGCTCCTCCTGATGCGGGTGGTAAGGGAGGATTAGAGTTACGCTTCGGTCTCCCTCGCTTTACAATGATTCCTTCGAGCTCCTGCAACTCCACCTCCTCGCAATCGCCGTCTTCGTATTTGATCAGAAAGAAATTCTCGTCGGCATCGTACGACTCGACTCGACCTGTGAACCAACCGTGCACTCCAAAATCCTTCTTCACTTTCCGACCTACGTAGCTCGAATGGTCGATCGGCGTCGCCTTGGACGCCATCGAGTTACTCTTTCACGAAGCACAGTCGTCTAGATTGCTAACATACTAAGTACACTTATCGAAAGGCATCACACCTCGTTGATGAAATTAACTATCGCCTGACAGGCGACCTATCTGGGAAAGCTATACGACATCGACTGGGAATGGCGGAAACCAATACCTTTCTTCCGCCTGACGTAAACCAACCTTGAGAATTGCTAGAAGCGGTGACCTCAGGGATCAGGCCAACACGGAGTGAAGTGAACCATGACATGAACCACGAACCTCGGGCAGCAGCTTGTTGTTGAAGACAAGTTTTGGAGTTCCCGAGGTCCACACTGCCGCACAGATAAGAATTTGAAAGTTCAAACAAGTTGCGGTCGGGCAGCTGAGGTAAATTATTGGTGATGGGATGATGAGCATTTGGTTGGTGGCGAAATGGCAGGGAGGACGTGGGTCTGCGATTTCGTTCTTGAAGCTCCGCCCGACTTGGACGAGGTTTAGCGAACTGTACGTGCTTCGTCGCCACGGTTCTGTGCTGTGCGCGATTGGCTGCTGCATTTGAACCACTACACTTGAAAAGTGTGTGTAGAGTGTGCATTGTTCGCGCCAAAAATCACACTTCCTTTTTGAGGTGTGCAGTGGAATTGCATGTGCTGCTAACCACACCAGACAAACCAGATTCTATAATCTCCGAGGTTCAAAAACCACCAGCAACCAAGATTGAACTGCAGCAATAGTGGCGGTCTAGCCGCCATTTGCTACCAAGTCAACAGTTTCAATGTGTTCCTACCTCTCAAGCCGCCCTTTAATTCTTGGAGTCGCTAGCTTCTCAAGCAGCTTGCTGGTTTAACGCTAAATGCTCTGCTCTACCTTCTCTCGTTCTAGTTGCACCTCCAGTGTGGAGGATGGTATTTTAAACCACATGGCCATAATTCTGAAGGTTTACAACGTAAACACGCAAAGCAGTAACCTAAATGTGTAAATGTACTGGCTTTGAATTATCTGCACTAACAAGGCACAGAGCTACCTGTCATGTCATCACACCGCACAAAAAATGCACAAGGGAGAATCACCTCTCTGCAAACCCTAATCATTGAGGCTCCAAAGCAAACTCCAAACAAGCTCGATTGAGATTTCATCATTTACACACACTGGTGATCCTTCACTTAAACATTCACGTACATTTCCCAACCTTCCATACATCCGTCTTATCACTTAGGTGGTGCTTGCAACGAGAAGCCAGTCCCTTTCCGACCAGCCCCACCACCATCCACCGCCTCGCTACCACTCTCCCTGCTCGCAGCCCCAACCTCTCTATCCCTCTCCTGCGATTGCAACCCTACGAGTCCAGCTTTCCTCGGCTCACTTGCCCCTCCACCTGTTACAGCGTCACCGGATACAGTCACATCTGTAGGGGTGCTCGGTACAGTCACACCTGCAGGGGAACTGGATACGGTCTTATAGATGGCGAGTGCTTGCGCCACCATGGAGGACGGGTCACCCACGTTGCTCGGCAGCAGCACTGTCGTTCCCTGCTTCGCCAGGTTCGCCAGGGCTGCGACATACTGCTCTGCCACTCGCAAGCTGGCGGCCTGAAAGTACAGGAGGGAGCATTGCAGGATGAAGGGATGAAGGAGGAAATGAGAAAGTATGAGTTCAAGGATGACACCAACTGCTGTCGTTCCCTGCTTGGCCTGATTCGCCAGCACTGCCACGTACTGCTCTGCCACTCGCAGGCTTGCATGCAGCCTGATATAGGGAGAGGTAGCGTGGAAAGAGGAGGGGAGGGGTTGGAGGAAGAGGAAGAACGGATGAGCTTGAGAAAGCACGAAGAAACATGGCTCCCTGGCCAGATTTGCCAGCGCTCCCACGTACTCCTTTGGGGATCGAAGGCAGTCAGATGGTTGGAATGGAGGGGGGAACAAACATGGGCTCAATTGAGTCCCATGCACCTGCACGCACCGGGTGTCGTGCTGGCGAGAGCGTTCATGGCTAAAGGCGCCATGGAGAGCGGAACAAACATGAGCTCAGTTGAGTCCATGCACACACAAACACCTGCATGGCGCCTTTAGCCATGAACGCTCTCGCCAGCACGACAGCCCTCTCCCCTTCGATGCTCCGTTAGTCATTAGGTGACTTTTGAGTCGACTCGAAAGTCCTCTCGCCAGCACGACAGCCCTCTCCCCTTTGATGCTCCGTTAGTCATTTAGCACCAGAATACCAAACACGCTACAACCATACTCCACACACACCTGAATGGCGCCTTCAGCCATGAGTGCTCTGGCCAGCACATCAATGTCCTCTGCTGATGCAGGTGTGCCAGCAAGCCTTGCTTTCCATTCCACGCCCACAAGCACACCATACGCCGTAAACTTGATGCTTCTGACAAAACACACCTGGGTGGCGCCTTCAGCCATGAGCGCTCTGGCCAGCACATCAATGCCTTCAGCTGATGCCCTCGCTCTTGCCACTATCGCCTCCGCCTCTCCTGCATGAGGTGCGTGAGGGGGGGGAACGGGGGGCAGGGGGGGAGAAGCATGGGAATCGGAAAGGCCATAACGCATGCCAATGCCAATGCTCTCTGCTGACGCCCTCACCCTTGACACTATCGCCTCCACCTCTCCTGCATAGCGTGGTGAGGGTAGAGAGGGCAGGTGGAGAGCGGCACATGGGTGGGCACAGAGGAAAGAAGCATGAGTACTGGAAAAGTGTGAAGCAGGGCATATGGTAACACTCGTGAGAACTCTCAAGAACAATCAGGACAGTAGAATGGGGCCTCATGATCTATCAAGATATGATGGATCATGAGGCAGGGGCGGGGGCATTTTGAGGCGCCTCAACAGTAGATATGATAGATCATGAGGCAGGGGCAGGGGGCAGCAGAATGGGGCATCTCTGTTTCTGAAACATCTATGACATCCTGTTCACCGAGCCTCGAGCCTTGATCCCCGAACCTCGAGCCTCGGTGTCCGAGCCACTTACCCTTGGCTCGGTTCATCTGGTCTGACATGGCGGCCTCTGATTCGAGGATGACTGCCGTTTTGCGCCCTTCTGCCATGTTTATGTTCGCCTGCCTGTCTCCTGGAAGGGGGGGGGGGGGGAGGGGGGAGAAGGGGGGGGGAGGGGTATACGAGGAAAGGGAAACGGGAAACGGGAAGGGGAAAGGCGGGAGGAAGAGGGAAGTCTCAACAAAGGCTCGTACCCTCTGTAGTCGGACAATTGCTTAGATTTGAGTAAACATTTAGAGTATCAGGGTACAGCCTCAACAGAAAATAAGCACTCACTCTCGGACTACTCCACTCACCCTCGGACTCCTCCACTCACGCTCGGACTCCTCCACTCACCCTCTGACTCCTCCACTCACGCTCGGACTCCTCCACTCACCCTCTGACTCTTCCACTCACCCTCTGACTCCTCCACTCACGCTCGGACTCCTCCACTCACCCTCTGACTCCTCCACTCACCCTCTGACTCCTCCACTCACCCTCTGACTCCTCCACTCACCCTCTGACTCCTCCACTCACCCTCTGACTCCTCCACTCACCCTCTGACTCCTCCACTCACCCTCTGACTCCTCCACTCACCCTCTAACTCCTCCACTCACCCTCTGACTCCTCCACTCACCCTCTGACTCCTCCACTCACGCTCGGACTCCTCCACTCACCCTCTGACTCCTCCACTCACCCTCTGACTCCTCCACTCACCCTCTGACTCCTCCACTCACCCTCTGACTCCAGAACTTGAGCGCGCCTCCGCCTCTCCGCCTCAGCCTGCATCTCCATGGCCGCCCGCACTCCAGGAGGAGGTGAGATGTCACCTGCAGCATGTGCCATATGCCAGGTGGCATGTACAATATTTCTATTAATCTGGTGAAACAAGTGGGGATTAAACGTCACCTACACGTGCATATGCTTGAATCCGAATAACAAGGGTTGCATGCATGTTCACCAATACGAAAAAAAAAGGGGGGGGGGAAGGGAGGGGGGGGTGGGTTGAAAGAAAAGTAGGGAGAGAAGCAATGCACGTGTGCGTGTGAGAGTGGTACGTACGGATCTCATATCTCAGGCACTCTATGCCCCATGCCTGCCCGGCTTCGTTGATCGCCCTCTGTTCACACACACGCATGCACACATTCAAACATGCACACATGCACGCGCATGCACACATCCACACACAAAGAAGCAGCAAGGGAAACACGCAACAAGAAGCATGGATTAGAAGAAATGAAATACATTTTACATACGGGCACACGTAGCATACAGAACGCCAGCTCATACCACAATATTGGTGTTGAGAATATCCCGCTCCTCAAAAGTGCTATCAAGGGTGATCCTCCCCAGCTCGCTGCACTGCTGCACATCCACACACCCACTACCCTAGTATGCACGATACAGCACACATATACCACCCGACATGCTTCATACCACAATATTGGTGTTGAGAATATCCCGTTCCTCAAAAGTGTTATCGAGGGTGATCTTCCCCAGCTCGCTGCGCATGGTCGTCTGTGCCAGCTGCACCACTGCGTACAGCGGCCGCTCCACACCGTACGATGCTTGCACCGGATCCACGATCTGACGGTGGAGGACGCATCAAAAGCGGGCGGAGAAAACAGAGCAGGGGAGGAGGGGTTGAGTGACTCAAGGGGAAGGGCAGTAAAAGGGGGGAAGAGTTCCTGCATTCTAGTAGAAGGGGGGAAGAGTTCCTGCATTCTAGTAGAAGGGGGGAAGAGTTCCTGCATTCTAGTAGAAGGGGGGAAGAGTTCCTGCATTCTAGTAGAAGGGGGGAAGAGTTCCTGCATTCTAGTAGAAGGGGGGAAGAGTTCCTGCATTCTAGTAGAAGGGGGGAAGAGTTCCTGCATTCCAGTAGAAGGGGGAAAGAGTTCCTGCATTCCAGTAGAAGGGGGGAGGGCAGTGGACAAGCATCACGACACCATTCCAAAGAGCGAATTCCATTCGACAAGCATCACAGCGATTTCAACAGTAACCACTCACTACTGAACAGCTCCACTCTTACTGTTAACTCACCCAGACGTAAAAGAACACCGTTGATCTGAATGCTGACGTTATCCTGCTTGGTGATGGCGGAGTTCTGGAGAACGACATTCCAGCATGAGAATCTTACTCACCTTGGTCAATACTACTAATATTACTCACCCGTACGTACAGCACTCCGTCGATCTGAATGCTGACGTTATCCTTGGTGATCGCTGATTGGTTGGGGATCGGGATCGCCTCCTCTTTCAGCGAGTGCACGTACGCGATTCGGTCAACTAACGGAATTAGTAGGTGAATGCCGGAACCTAGAGTCTTGTAATACTTCCCGAATCGCTCTATAACGAAGGCGCTTTTCTCGGGGACGATTCGCACGCCCCAATTGGTCAGAGAGGATGACGATGTTCCCAAATTCTGCCACGTGTCATCAGATCCGAAACCCCAGCCATTGCGAGCGGTGGGGATGCCACTATGGAAGGGGCGATTGCTGGGACCAATCAGCGGCGAGAATGACATGGATGATGACGTGGAGGAGGGTTTGTGGTGGGTGATTGTAGGAGAGAGACCGCGCCTCGGGGCTAAGCTCGAGAATAATCTCTTAAGGGACCCGTCGATCGGGCTGCTCACTGCGCCGTTAACTGCGCCGTGGATTGCGCCGCTGATCGCGCCGTTGATCGCGCTCGATTCGACACGAGAAGCTGCGGATGATGCGGGAGAGGCAACGCCGCCGTACGGTCCGTTGAATACGGACAGCCCCGCCGATGGAGAGCGAGGCGCGGCATCTCGAGGCGTGATAAGTGGTGGGGAAAAGGACGGCGACGTGAGCAGCTGGGTGTGTCGCAGCAGCGCAACGGCGGCAGCAGCGGCTGGTGCGGCGAGATGCGCGGCGCGGTGCAGCTCCCGCTGTCTAGCTGCCACGTGACCTAACATGATTCGAAAGCAACTTCAAATCAGATCACATGTAACGGGTCTACCTATAACGGAAGCGAGTGCTGGCAAACCTGACACTGATCGCATAAGGGTTAGAGTAACGAGCCACCAGTACCGGCAATACCGATGAGATGATCCTCGCACCACAATGGTTCCCTCGCTGCTCTCCTGCTCTCTAGCCATACACAATCAAGGCCAGCTAATTGTACGCGCTATAAGGAGCTTGCGTGTGCGACTCGGTTGACGTTGTCAGTGTCGGCCGATGTGCCCCGTAACCTGTGGAGATGCTTTCGCACAGAACGGTCCGATTTAACACGAGTGGTTACTACACGACTTCAACTTCCAACCCTATATCAACCAATAATACAACTAGTAGTACTGGTGAGGTGCCCTCCTTGACTCAACTTACAAGTCTCTCTTTCCTAAATTATAGGTTCTCCTGTTTCGTCCACTATTTTGAGCCCAATATTTTTTTTGTTTTTTCTGGTTTTCCACTTGTCAGGGTCTTCTTATCCTTTTAGTAAATGCCAGGTGGGGTTGGGGAGGGGGGTTAAAATAGGAACAAGTTTGCATTATTTATGTAGCACAAGAGCACTATTCGCTTCTTTCTTATTGAGTGCACCAGTAGCATTGAATGTGACATCTGTCAGGAAAAATCACCTAAATGCAATTTCAGCCTAATCTTCAACCAACCATGGCTCTTTTCCTCCCTCGTAGTCGAACTGGGACAGCGGGTCAGGCAAGAGAAGAAAGAAAAGTACCAAGCATGAGTGAAATACACTTGGATATGCCCGAGACTGGGACACTTGAAGATTTGCGATGTATGCTCTGATCCCCAGCCCGTTCGGTGTGGCACTTCGGAAGTTTTTCCTGGGTCTAGTAAAGCTCACATCTAGCTTGGCAAGGAGCAAGGATGGAGGAGGGGCTCTCACCTTGCCCCAGCATGTGATAAAAGTAACATTTTGAGACGTCTCAGAATGTTACTTTTATCAGGAGGGGCTCTCACCTTGCCCCAGCATGTGATAAAAGTAACATTTTGAGACGTCTCAGAATGTTACTTTTATCAGGATGGGATCTCACCTTGCCCCAGCTTGTTCAGTGTGGCGCTCCAGAACCTTGAATGGTGGCGATACGATGTCAGCACTGCCGACATCTGGTGTTACACATGGATAAGATGAACAAACAAGCAGGAGGACAGCGGGGGAGCTTACATTCAAGAGCAATGCAAGAGTCAGAACCAGGGAAGAACAAGCACGAACAAGGAACTGGGGAGGGGGGAGGGCACAGGGGAAGAAGGACGGCCAAGGTGGGAGCAGCGTGGGGAGGAGAAAGGAAAGGCAGGCTGGCTTGCAAGTGGCGGGTGTGTGGGGTGTGCAGGGTAAGAACATACAATATCCCCATTGCTGGAGTGCAACGAGATGAGTGCCCGCTCAAGCACGTAGAGATCCACAGCCTTGTCCTCCGCAATGGTGGAGTTGAAGCTCAGCCCAAAGTCTATCACCACCACGCGCTCCCTCCCTGCCCCCACTGCCCCCACTGCCCCCACTGCCCCTGCTGCCCCCCCTGCTGCCGCCGCTGGCCCTGCTGCCTCCCCTGCTGCCCCTGCTGCTCTTTCGGGTGGCACTGCTGCTGCTGGGGTTGCTGCCGGTGCTGCTGGTGTTGGTGAAGCCACGGATGCAGCAGCAGCAGCAGGGAGGGGCGAGAGCAGCATGTTGGAGGTGGTGAGGTCGCCGTGCACCATGCCACCATCATGTAGCTTTGCTATCGCCTCGCCCATCCATGCCGCCACCTCTGCCACCCGCGGGTGCAACCCCTCGCCCCTCGCCCTATCCTCACTAGTTCCTGTTTCTGTTCCTGCACCCGTGCGTGTTCCCGTGCCTGTACTGACAGGTGGGTCTGCGCTGGTATTGGTAACAGCAGGAGCAGCAGCAGCAGCAGTGGGAGATGTGTGGGCGAGGGAGAGGAAGAGGTCTTTGACGCTGTGGCCCGCCACTCGTTGCATCACGATACACCGCTCCCCCTCCTCCACTCCATACAGCACCGGCACCGCCACTCCCAGCTTCGCCGCCCGCACCATGTTCCTCGCCTCCTGAGATTAATGAGAGGGAGGGGGTAGGTAATTGGCATTTACATCAATACCTCTCTCTCTCCCTGATTCCTGCTCCCCCTCCTCCACTCTGTACAGCCCCAGCACCGCCACTCCCAGCTTTGCTGCCCGCACCATGTTCCTCCCTTCCTGCGATCAGGGTGGGGGAGGGGGAGGAGGAACAACAGAGAGGGTTGGCAGTCCATCTTTATCGGTGCTGCTCCCCCTCCTCCGCTCCGTACAGCACCGGCACCGCCACTCCCAGTTGAAGTGCACCAACCCCAGCACTTTTCTCTGAGCTGCTACCATACCATGCATCGGTCCTGCTCCCCCTCCCTCCTCCACGCTGTACAGCACAGCACTGGCAGTCTGGCTCCGCCACTCCTAGTCTCGCTGCGCACACCATGCTCCTAGCCTCCTGGATAGAAAAGAGGCATAGAAGGGAAGATAATAGACCGCAGGTATCAGTGAGGTGCAGCAGAGGAAAAGCTCAAACCCGGAGGGGAGGTCAAAGCGGGAGGAGCACTCACCCCGTGCAGGCGCTTGGAGGTGAGTGAGTCGCGCGTCGAGCGTGGGGTGGCGGTCCTTGTTCTCAAAGCAGCATGTTAGTGGGAGAGAATGTGTGGGAGATCCAGGCACAGGAGTGCTCACCGTGTGCAGGCGCTTGGAGGTGAGTCGCGCGTCGAGCGTGGGGTGGCGGTCCTTCTTCTCAAAGCAGCATGTTAGTGGGAGAGAATGTATTTGAGATACTTTTGAGATTTCTCTAAAGTAACACCAGTATACGTGGCCCAGGATTTTTCACCGTGTGCAGGCGCTTGGAGGTGAGTCGCGCGTCGAGCGTGGGGTGGCGGTACTTCTTCTCAAATCGCTGCTTGAGTATCGCTGGCCGCCCGCAGAACGTTGCTGCGAACACTCTCTGCGACCATGGGGCAATGCGACGGTAGGTTGGTGGAATAATGTGGTGGAAGAGTGGTGGACGGAGGTAAGAGGCCGAGCAGATGGGCAGAGGGGAGGGTGAAAAGCAGGGGAGCGGAGGGGGAAGAGAGGACGGAATCCATTGACTGGCCACAACTCATTCTTTGAGTCGACTCAAAAAAGACGGAATCCATTGACTGGCCACAACTCATTCCTCGCAAACAGCCGCGGTTTTATGCGTGCTGATTGAATCGATAAGCACTGTGAGCGCCAGTGGATACGAATGCCTGGTAACCGAGGCTGGTTATAACGGGTATGCGTACCGCTTCCGCGCCTTGGCTGATGAGCTCAGCTGACGCCAGCAGGAGCGACAGTCCCTGCTTCGGCGCATCGGTGGTGTCCATCAGCTCCGCTCCCCCAGCTTCCCCCTTTCCCCCGGTTTCCCCCAGTGCGCGCGTTTCCCCCTGTGGGAGCGCTTCCCCCTGCACGTTCGCCCCCTCCTGCGCGCTCCCCCTCTCTTCTCCTTGTGGCGGAGCTGAGTTTTCTTCCGCCATTGGTGCGCAGAAGTGGATTACTACCAAGGTCCTTGCGTGCAGGCTTCGGAAGTGAGCGGCGCACTAGCGGGTCTGATGTGCAACAGAATTGTTCAGACAAAACTGAAAAGAACGATCGTACACTTTTTAGGTTGTGTTACGGAGATTAAAACGCGGATAACAAATCTAGTCGCTGCTTCGATAAAGTGGGCCCTGATTCTGCTGTGGTATTCGTGTTTGTGAAAAAAGTGTACGCCTTTTACATACTCTAATTACTGATCACAGACTTTTGACAAAGCCACATACAGAATCCCATCACAGATCTTTCGGCTGAAATTGGCGCGTCGCTGAGGTGCCGCGTGTCATCCTCCATCATTTGAAAAGGTTCACACGCTGGGTACGACAGATTTTTCGCACCGTCACACGAGCTATCCGATGACTCAGCATGATGACAGAAGTTGGAGGCTGAGCGAACGGCGTCGATGCACTTGGGTCTTGTCACTTGGGACAACACACGTGCCTTACCACACGTTTCCGTGCCAGATCTTTCCATATGTGCTGTAACCGCGCTGTCGTTATCGCTCAACAATTCGCATATTCCATTCAGCTTTTCGCCACCACTCGTTTACCTCATTGACTCCCGGAGCACCCTTCGCTGACCTCCCCACGACCTCGATATCTCCAACAGCTCTCCACTTTTTGCAGCATTCCTTCGCATTCCATCGCCCCCCATCCCTTTTCACCGCCTGGTTTGCATTATTCTCCCTCGACCTCTAGATATCCTTGACCCCCCCTGCCTCCTAAACTGCCTCTGAATTCCAGTCTGCTGAAATCACGGCTGCTTCTCCTCGTTTCCTTGTTTCGCTCTTCTCGAGATTCGCTTTGCCGCTTTCCTGTTGATTCCTTGGAGTCCAGCTTGGTTGGGTGGGTCACTCGCTAAATAAGTTCCTGTGCAGTTCAACAACCGAGCAGAGAGAATATAGAACAGCCGTTGCGACGTCTCTCATTTTCTTGGTTGAAGTAACCTGGTCCTCAGTGTAAAACAATAGCCTATTCTCGGAGCACAGGAACGATGGAAGCCATGGCTGCGTGCGCTCCAACGCGGAGCCTCTTAAACCGGACGGTTGTCGGCGTCCGTTGCTTATCCGGAGAATCTCTAGGCCAATCACTGCACACCAGACCATCCGCGATCAATATCTCACGAGCCAAATCCCGCTCAAATGATCTTCCCATTGGAGCTTCCCGGCGACTTACTGTTGAATGTAACAACGTACGGAAAACGAAGAGAGCGCCGATGGATCCGGACTACCCGTGGCCTGACAAGTACCACGCGGAGGAGAAGGGTTTCCTCGCGTTCTTCTCCACGAGCAAGGAGAACCCGGGAAAGAAAGGCAAGCCCATGATGCTGCCGTTCGAGCGGCCGCTGGAGGACCTGGAGAAGCGGATTAAAGAGGTCAGGCATCGCATCGCACCGCACCATATCCCATCCCATTGCGTCCTACTGTATCGTACAACTTTGTGCATCGCAAGCATCGCATCGCATCGCATCGTATCGTATCGTATCGTATCATTTGACTCGTTGGCATTCTGGCCTTCACACAATGCTCTTCCTAACGATAACTTTTCTAAAACAGAAGGCCTCGGGATCCACGACGCCTCCTCAACTTTCAGCTGTTTCGAATGGAAGCAACGCTGCCTTGCAAGTATGAAGCATTGTGTTACGCTTGGTCGTGTGCCGTCACCGTCTGCTGACTTGCGTTCGCAGGTTCGTGATCTGGCGACTAAAACGGGGATGGACTTCACCGAGCAGATTCACGAGCTGCAGGAGAAATACGACCAGGTGAGCTGCACCACGTGGGCTGCACCACTTTCGCTGCACCACGTGCTCTGCACCACTAGAGCTGCACCTCGTGAGCTGTTGCTACAGGACAAACGCGACCACGTTTGTGCTGCGCTACGGCTGCCATCGCTGGAGTTAGAGCCGCACAGGCCCTGAAATGTCAGGCTCGTTGGCCTCGGTCTGTCCTCTCACCGTATTTTCTGTTCTTTACTGTTCTGTTCTCTTTGTTTGTTCTTTGTTTGTTCTTCCCTCTCTCATGCACGTGCTTGCGGCTATTGTGTCTTGTCCCATGGCAGCTGAAGCGTGACATCTACCTGCGCCTCACCCCGGTGCAACGTCTGGGCGTGGCGCGCCATCCCAACCGTCCAACGTTCCTTGACCACATCCTCAACATCACAGATAAGGTGACGCACTGCCACACTCAAGACGATATGCACTAGATTCACGACCCGCGACATAAGAACGCCACTCCAAGTGACAGCTGAATCAGCTCACGAGCACATACTGACATCACAGACGAGGTGTTGCACAACCACTATCAAGTCGATATGCACTAAATCCACGTCACGATAAGGTGTCGCACTGCCATTCTCAAGTCTGCTCCTTATTCTTGTTGGCACGCACCTCCGACTAGGTGCACTGGGTGGAGCTGCATGGCGATCGCGGCGGGTACGATGACCCGGCACTGGTGTGCGGGCTGGCGTGTGGTTGTGGTCGACCCATGCTTCAATAATTTGCAACCTCAACCTGCTTTCCCCCAACCTGCTTTCCCCCATCCTGATTTTTCCCCTCCCCCCAATGCAGTGGGTGGAGCTACACGGCGATCGCGGCGGGTACGATGACCCGGCGCTGTTGTGCGGGCTGGCGTGTGGTTGTGCTCAACGCATGCTTTCCCCCAACTCGCTTTCCCCCTCCCGTGCAGTGGGTGGATCTGCACGGCGATCGCGGCGGGTACGATGACCCGGCGCTGGTGTGCGGGCTGGCGTGTGGTTGTGCTCAACGCATGCTTTCCCCCAACTCGCTTTCCCCCTCCCGTGCAGTGGGTGGAGCTGCACGGCGATCGCGGGGGGTACGACGATCTGGCGCTGGTGGGCGGGCTGGGTTGCGGTCACGGGGACACATGGTTTGTCTTTTCTCTTCCCTCCCTGCGTTTCTGTCACCTCCCCGTGCAGTGGGTGGAGCTGCACGGCGATCGTGGGGGCTACGACGACCCGGCGCTGGTGTGCGGGCTGGGGCGCATCGACGGCATGAGCTTCATGTTCATGGGGCACCAGAAGGGCCGCAACACCAACGAAAACATCTACCGCAACTTCGGCATGCCTTCACCCAACGGGTGAGTCACCGAGTGCTGCTCACCCAGTGCAGTGGGTGAGCGCGTGAGCGCTGCTCGGCCTGTGGGTGACTGCGTAAGTGCTGCTGGTGGATTTCATCGTGGTATGGTCTGATATGATATGATATGATATGATATGATATGATATGACCTGATCTGATCTGATCTGATCAGCCACTGCTGCTTATGTTCATGGGGCACCAGAAGGGCCGCAACACCAACGAAAGCATCTTCCGCAACTTCCCCGAACGCCTCCTCCCCTCCCCCACTCCTCCCTCCTTCCCCCGCCCTTGCAGGTACCGCAAGGCGTTGCGCCTGATGCGGCACGCGGAGCACCACGGCTTCCCCATCGTCATGTTCATCGACACTCCTGGCGCTTATGCCGGCATTCAGGCCGAGGAGCTGGGACAGGTGGGTTGAGGAGGGAGGGTAGGGTGGGTTGATGCGGAAGGGTAGGTGCATGAGAAAGGGCATGGCAGCGGTGGGAGGTGGGAGCACCACCGCTTCCCCATCGTCATGTTCATTGACACTCCGGGCGCTTATGCTGGCATTCAGGCGGAAGAGCTGGGGCAGGTGGGTGGTGGGGGGCAGACGGGCAGATGGGCAGATGGGCAGATGGGCAGATGGGCAGATGAGTGGGTGCATGAGGGGAGATGAAGTGAACACTGGCAAGTGGCAGATGGCAGATGGCAGATGGCAGATGGCAGATGGCAGGTCACCCCGTCGTCATGTTCCCCTTCCCCCTTCCCCTTCCACTTCCCCATCCCGTTTCTAATCTCCTGCCCATCCCCCCCCCACACTGGGCGAGGCCATAGCGCAGTGACTTTTGAGTCGACTCAAAAGTAACCTGAGGGAGATGTTCGGGCTTACGGTGCCCACCATCTCACAGTGCACTATGTCGTCCCCGTTCCCCTTCCCCTCCCTGTCCCTGTCCCTTGCTCCTTCAATCGCTGTCCCCTTCCTCTTCCCTGTCCTCGTGCCAATCCCTTTCTCCTCCTCCCCCCGACACAGGGCGAGGCCATAGCGCACAACCTGAGGGAGATGTTTGGCCTCACAGTGCCCACCATCTCAGTCGTGATTGGGGAGGGGGGGTCTGGCGGCGCGCTCGCTATAGGCTGCTGCAATAAGATGCTCATGCTCGAAAACGCGGTGTACTATGTTGCCAGGTGAGGGAGGCCCCAGGGAGGTGGGTGACGTGATCAGGTGATCCGTCAGGTGAAAAATCTGTCGGGCGAACCAAAGTGGGCACACAGGTGAGCAAGTGAGTGGGCGTTCACGAGTGTCAGGTATAAAGGAAAACATGGAAAGGAAACGAAATATGGAAACAAAAAAGGCAACGGGAATGAGTGACTGGACTGTCAGACGGAATGTTGCCTGCACGACCAGTAGACCCTTGACTCGGAATAACGCAAGGGTCAGTTAGCGGGCATTCCTTTTCAGATTTGGCCCAGTCACATGTCCGTATTCCCACCATCCCACCATCGCTCCACCCGTCCAACTGTCTCACCTTCTTACCACTTTGTGTGTGCACCGTCTCCAAAACTTGCGCTGCCACCCACCTCACAGCCGCCTTTGCCAATGCTTCTTTTTGAGGCGCCTCAAAAACCATCTCCAAAACTTGCGCTGCCACCCACCTCACAGCCGCCTGTGCCAATGCTTCTTTTTGAGGCGCCTCAAAAACCATCTCCAAAACTTGCGCTGCCACCCACCTCACAGCCGCCTGTGCCAATGCTTCTTTTTGAGGCGCCTCAAAAACCATCTCCAAAACTTGCGCTGCCTCCCACCTCACAGCCGCGTGTGCCAATGCTTCTTTTTGAGGCGCCTTACAAACCATCTCCAAAACTTGCGCTG